GCTCATTTGCGTGCGTGCCTTTTCTTCTTTTTATTTGTTAATGCGTTACACCCCCCATTTCACGCCACCCCCGCATGCAGCATCATAATTAGTACATGTGTTCAGTGCGGTGGCCCTATTAACAACACCGCCCTGCTCTGTCCTTCCCTCTCACTATAAGTGTGAAAGCGAACACTCATATCAGCTTTTCCCATTGGGAGAAGCAACCGGAGTGGCAACGAAGCATCCTTCGATTAGGCGTATATGCATACCACTGTAGAGAACACGGTACGAAGTAGAGTGGGGGAGAAGGGGTCCTCCTACACCAAAAAGAAACAAAAAATGGAAGTTTCCTTGCGCCGCCACAGCGCCAGACCTAGCATAAAGGGGGGAAAAAACATCGAAAGCAAGGAAAATAAAAAAAAACTAGCACTGTATAATGCATCCCCCCTCCCTATTTTTCCGCTCTGTAAACTACAAAAGGGAATCATGGAACGCTTACACATATAACTATAGATACATACATGTCCAGAAAAAAAAAGGTCATTGCCTTCTCGTTTTCCGAGCTGCAGTGACAATAATTTCTGGTCGTTAGTCACGCGTAGATAACGAAAAAAAAACAAATCAACAAACAGTACTACTTTAAAATCCTAATAAACCCCGTTTTGTGCCCATTTCCCTACTTCTGCGTTATTTTTTTCCCCTCCCCCTCCGTTTTTTTTTTCTGCCTCTTTGCCTCGCTTTCCCAAATCCAACACCAACACAGCGTGAAACAAAAAAAACAACGCGTACACTAAACCTTTTTACCTCAGGTTTCCTTTTGCCTCTCCCTTTCCCTTGACCTCTCTCCCACGAGCTTTGCTGCAGGCAGCCAGTTCAGGCCTCAGAATCAGATGTCCAAGAGGCAGCGTACCATAAACTCGGCTCTAGGCAAAGCTACGGGCCTCAGTTCCTCTTTGCTCGAGCAGGAGATCACCGGCCACGAGAACGTACTGAGAGGAGAATCAAGATCCGCCACAGGACTTTCTACCGTGAAATCCACAGATTTCGCTTCGCTGTTACCTGCCGCACGAATGCTTTCTGCCACAGGGCCGTATCCAGCCGCAATTCCCGCTGCACTGGATGCATCTCGACTTCCTTCTATACCAGAAATCTCCAACGCTCCTGCTCCACCGCTAAGCGAGGCCTGAGGAGTCAAGTTTTCCCCCTCCAATGCAGCATCTCGTTGAATGGTATGCATACCGAGGTTATTGGTCTTCGTCACGTTTGCATCGACGTAGCCAGGTGAAGCTGACGTGGCATTTGTGGGATTTAGCTGTTGCGTGACAGCCTTGGTATCTTGTTGCGACCCTGCCACACCGCTGGATGGGGGCGAGGCAGCAGTTGTGGATTTCGCACTCGCTTCATCCCGGCGTTTTGCAGATGAAAACGGCTTTGGGCTCTCGTCGAGAGGCATCGACGTTGGTGACCCATTTTTGGTGTATGCACTGGTGGACTTTGCGATCTCCCTCCCTAGTGCGGTAGCCCCTTCACCCAACTCACGCACCTCGCCGGCAGCTTTAGCAGGCCCCTGCAAATAATGGTCATTCAATTTAGCAGAAGAATTCAATGCGTTGTCATTAGGCGCCTGCGGCGGGGCCGCCACGACGGCTGCTTCGTTAACCCCCACGCCTGTCTCCGCCGCCGCGCTGGGCACGTTAGCGTTATACGCCGTTCGGGAGGCGTTCGTGTTCAGGTCGTTTGTGCCACCTTGCAAAAGAGGAATTGGTTCCGCGCCATTCACCCCCACCTTAGAGGCGGGAAAGCCGTCTTCCAGGCGAGCCGCGTCCCCCGCATCCCGCGTCTCCAGGTCCTTTTCAAGAAGAGCTTGCAAGTCCGCCATTTTCTCGCCCACCCTTTCAGGCACAATGGCTTCAGGCGGCCGATGCGAAATCCGTCCTGCACCCAGCATATTATGAGCAGGCATCTCAGACGCCATTGCGCCGCTCCGCCCTGGCGAGATAAATCGATCCCCGAACACTTCAACGGCATCCGCGGCATTGAAGCAGAACCTCACCTTGTTTGGTGTTGCCGGACGCTCTTCATCTCTCCTCGTGACAGACGCTCTTCTGGGACTGGTTCCTCGTCTTCGTACGCTGCCGGTGAGGTCCTGCTGAGTTGGCGTGGACACGGTCGACACGAACGTCCGCCAGCCTGGTTCCCCTTCATGACGCTGCTCCGGGTTAGAATAGACAAATAAACTGTGCCGATGCGACTGTGAAAGCGTCCCTGATCCCCGCATGTCCTCACATGAAGGTGATATAGAGGAAAACTCTTCTTCTCTCCGCATAGACCCACCAACTTCATTACGTCCAAGGTGGATGCTTCTGCGGCCGCTGTTGATTTTAAAAGGCCACTCGTTATCAGGAACAACCAATGGAGCCGTGTAGGGACTATGGGAAGTGAGCTGCAAAGCATCGTTTGCATCCTGCCCCAGAGCTGAGGTCAAGCCTTCTCGAGCTGTGCGTCGACGAGGAACAGAGCGTCGACGGAGATCCGAGCGTCGGTGAGAAACTGAGTGTTGACGAGGGGTTGAGGCGCCGGAATAACTGCCGTTATTTACCAGAGACCTCTTTTGACTTTCCTTATGCCAAGGGACATGGTACTCCTTACGGATTTGTTCCCAGTCAGCACGGAGGGGGCCTCTGTCACTTGACGCCTGTAGCGGCTCGGGGGATGGCAAGTTGGGGTGGGAATGGGGGTCTGTCAGGAGCTCCCGCCGCGTTCCCCGCTGAGACGATCTTGCCGGCGTGAGGAGTTCTTCTCCCAATGTCTCATTTGTGTGGTGATGCGCATCACGCTTTACATTTCGAAACGGGCTTACCAACGTGGAATTGTCTCTTTCAGCCTCCACCCTGGATCCAGGTAGGGACATGAGGTGCAGGCAACTGTTTTTATTTTATATTCGGCTTCTTCCTCCCGTTCTTGTGGCTGTTGCTGTTAAATAAAGAAGGTTATCTAAAGTGTATTTCTATGCGGCTACGAATGCGCGGACGACTGCACCCCCTGTTCCTTCCTTTACCCTCTCGGCCACGCAACCCACGATTGGACGCGGCAGCAAAGGGACATAAGCAGAAGAAGAGATGGAAGTAGATAAATAAAGGTGGAAGTTTGGAACG